CCCCCAGCACTTATGGCAGGCAGCAGACACCGATCTGCAGCCCCATTTCCTCCCTTCCAGCTGGCTCCAAGCTCACAGCCAGTGGGAACTGCAGGTTTCTCACAGGATGGGCTTCAGAAAGGCAGGATTTAGTGTTCAGAGCACAAAATGTGTTCTGTCCAGCCCAGTCCTGGGTCAGAGGGAGCCAGGGCCCGACCAGGCTGTTGGCAGATTTTGGGGTTGTGTCTGCTGCCTTTCAGGGCAGCCACCCTTGAAGGCCCAGTTGAGCAAAGTGTCCTAAAACAGCATTAACAGAAAAACCATTCCTGTTACTTGGGCTAAAAACCTGGTATCTCATAGAATCTCAGGATGGTTTGGGTTGAAAGAAACCTTCAAGCTCATCCAGTGCCATCCCCTGCCATGGCAGGGACACCTTCCACTGTCCCAGGGTGCTCCAAGCCCTGTCCAACCTGGCCTCGGACACTGCCAGGGATGGGGAGTCCACAGCCTCTCTGGGCAAACCTGTGCCAGTGTGTTCTAAGTGGATACAGACATTTCCATTTATTTTTATGCACAATTTTTTTTTTTATTTTATGCACTGTGAATAATCTACTTTGTGTTAGATGAGGAAATACATTTTCATTTTTTACATCTGTCCTAGATTGGAATGCACCAGCTCCCAAAGGTGCCAGCAGTTTTCTGTTTGCTATCAAGGGAGTCCAGCCAACTCCAGTGTAAGCTCCTGCTTTGGGATAGATGCCTGAAGCTCCCTGGAAGTAATTTTTGTATCCTCTTACCCGTGTTTTGTGTTTAATACAATTCTGGAGCATGTAGTCAACCCCCTTCACTCTCAGGGACCAGTAAGAAGCTGTAGCTAAGCCAAAGGTTTTATTAAATCACAGATAAACAGACTCAATGAGAATCCTAAATTCCTCATCCTCATCTTCCCAAATTAATAAGCTCTAAATGTTTTATTGCGATCAATACTGAATTTGACACATAAATCAATTTTTACCCAGGACAAACCACAGAATCACCCAGGACAAACTATAAAATTAACCAAGCACAAACCTCTGCTGTAGATCAATAATCCACTCATCCCAAAAGTTACATAAAATAAGGCAGAAGAACACTTCAAACACCAGGTACTGAACACAAAAATGCGTTTTGTAGTATTTTGCCACAAAAATATGAATTCATATTACTGGTCATATGTGCCATGACTATGACACCCACAGAATCCTAATTTCCCTTCCTCTGAACTCGTGACTGTGGGGCTGTTGCACAGTTAAATGAACCAGGCTGAGAGCAGAATGTGTGGAAAGGAATCTCCAACATTCCAACCCCCGTGAATTTTAGCACAAAGGAATGAGAAAGGAGCAGGTATCTGATTGCCCGTTCCAGGAAGGTGAGAAGTCAATCACCCAACAGTGACCTAGGTCTGTTCTGTGTAAAATGTGTATTCAGGAATGGCCTGATCTACTTCAGCTCAAGAAGGTGGTCCAGAAAAACATTCCTGCAGTACTACAGATCTCTGACAGCAGGAGCAGGCCCTCCTCCTCTGCAGGACATTCCCAATTTTCAAACCATTCCTCAGCGTTTGAGCATCACTCTCTAAGTTCAGTGTGGGCTGTTCAGACTGACCATCCCGTGCTGATCACTTTTGGTTTGATGTGGGCCCACGTTTCTGTCTGCAGACTGGATGGTTTTACCTCTGGAGTCATTGACTCCTTACAGAAAGAGAATTCAAATTTTAGCATGGAATTTTGCTCATTGAAACAGTGGCACACAAAAAGGAGATTAACTTCTGATTCGTTGCTTTGATTTGAGATGGTTCATAAATTCAGTTTTAGGGGATTTTGCACTGAATAAAAAAATGCCAGTTTGGGCAAAAACATAAAAAAAAAAAAAAAGTCACATATTACAAAGTAACGCTCCAGAATAAACTTATTCTCTTAGCTACAACCAGGTCTGTAATTTCCTGCATAGTTACAGCCATTTATACTTGCAGGATACCAGCATCTCACAGCAGCTTATCTTGTCTCTTTAGAGGGAAATATTCTCACTAGTCATTATTTAGGTCATTTTGTGGTTTAATGAATTTTCTTTTCTTAAATCAAAGTGTTTGAGAAAATGTAAAGACAAAAAAGAAGGCAGAGCAAATATAACACAAAAATCAGTTGTGAATTTAAAATCCGTGCTTCACTTGCACATTTTGATCCAAACTGTTGGTCGTCCAAGTTGTTCAGTGTTCACAGAACCTTCAATAAATTCCCGTTTCTTTTCCACAAAAACTTCTCCCAGAATATAGAAAGGATGAAAGGGTAAGTGCAGGGAGACAGGAGAAACCTCCTGAAGCCAGTCAAGCACAGACCTTGATGGTAACGGAGAACTCGGAGACCAAGAGCTCTTGAAAGGCGTTTCAGGCCACGTTTAATTCAGGAGATGGAGAAAACTACTGGAAACACTATTTGAAAATCTCGGTTAACTCAGGAGAACTCGAAGGAGGTGTGATTGTATTTGGTTACATGGTTACACTGAGGCTGGAAAACGCATTTCCCCATGATTCAGGAGGTCAGTCAGAGCCATCCTTAAATAATTGGTGTGTTTTAACAAAATAATCATGGCATTGATGGATCAACATTGACTGGAGGAAGGGGGAGAAGGGTGGCTCCGTGGATGGGAAATTGCTCAGCTTAACTGCAAAGTGCAGGAAGATAATAAACTATTGACATCTCTGCCCTGGGAGAGGGAGGTGACGTAAAAAGTGACAAATCAAAAAGTCACCATGAATTTGTCAAGAACGGGGGAACAGCTGTTCAGGGAGCACTGAAAGGGATCCGGGGATTACAGGGGATCAGGAGGAGTCTGAACCAACATGGTGATGCTGTTGCTGACTCTGCAAATGCCACGCTCAGATCTGTTACCTAATTAACCTGATTACAGACCTGGGCAGGAATGTGGAGTCCAGAGGAGCCTAAGAATGACTAAAAGTTTAGAAAATATGGCCTATGAGATCATGAGGCCTACAAGAATTTGTTTAGTTTATAAAAATAAAGTTTTAGGGAGAAAATGATAATATTATGTGAAACGACACAGTCTGTAAAATGTTATTGGAATTTGACGCTCGTTAATCGTTCATTATTGGAATTTGATGCTCATTAATCATTCTTCAGATCTGCTGGACAAGGCACAAAGACACTGAAATTCACAACCACAGTACAGTTTAGATGCTGGGGAAAACTTTGTGGAGTTAAGGCCGGTTGGGTGCTGGAACTGGATTTCTAGGAAGATTGCAGAATCCAGTTTAATGTAGGTTTTAGAAAGGTTTGTCCTGGCCTTGGGCAAGGAACAGTGACACCTCAGAGCAGCAGCTCCTGCTTCAAGTCTCAGTGCAGAGCGCCGAGTCCTGAAGGTGATATTAATACACCTTGTGCTTTCCCTTTGGAAATACACAAAATAGGTGGTGGAGGCTCTGCCAGCCATTGCAGCTACGATGGAAACGAGAGCTGATTTTCCTTAATCCACGCCGAAATCTGAGACTTCACCTTGTGAGCAACCTCAGGCTCGCAGGCCCCGCTCGGGGGCCAAGCTCACAGCGTCAGCCGAGCTGCAAGACCCCAAGAGGCCAGAAGGAGCCCCGAGCGCTCAGACAATCCCGGGGCAGCTGAACCAGCGGGGCCGGCCCGGACAAAGGCCGCAGCCCCCTCCTCCCTCCGCCGGCCGAGGCCACGGCCCTTCCCAACAGGTACCGCAGGGCCGGGCGGCGCTCCCGCAGGCCGCGGGGCCGAGGCGGCCATGTTGTGGAGCCGCGGCCTGCGGGAAGTTCGGGGGAAGTTGGCGGCGGGGGCCGGCGGGGCGGCGGGCGGCGCGGGGCCCCGCGGCGGGCGGGCGGAGGCGGCGGCGCCGGGGCCGCGCTCCGCGCCGCGCGCACGCGGAAAGCGCGCGGCGCTCGCGGAAAGCGCGCGGCGCTCGCGCTACGGAGGCCCCGCCCGCGCCCCGCCCCCCGCGCCGCTCCCCGCGCTCCCATTGGCCGACGCGGCCGTCAGTCAGCGGCCGGGCCCATCTCGCGCTCCCCATTCATGCAGTTTGGTTGCGTGTTGGTGTATTTTACTGTTTGCAATAAAGAGGGGGGGATTTTTTTTTTTTTGTTCAGTTTCTGCCGCAATTAACTCTTGGTCCCTT